ATAAGGAGACGGAGTTTCACCATGTTTGCCAGCTGGTTCTTGAATCCTGTCCTCGTGATCTACCCTCTTAGACCTCCCAATGTGTTGGGATTACAGGTGTGAGCTACCGCGGCCCCACCCCCCGCCGCCCTTTGTTTTTTTAAAGAAATGGGTCTCACTTGTTGTCCAGGCTAGGTATATGGTGCAGTCATAGCTCACTGTAACCTCAAATTCCTGGGCTCAAGTAATTGTCTGCCTCAGATTCCTAAGTAGCTGAGACTACAGGCATGCACTACCATGGCCAGCTAATTTTTTAAAAATTTCTGGTAGGAGGTGGGGTACAACAATGTTGTCAGGCTAGTCGCTCGAATCCTTACTAAATGGCAGAATGAGAGATGACTATTGCTGTGTTGATGGGCTACATTTCCAAACATCTTATATGAGTTACCAACAAATAAAAAAACTGGTTTCTTGTTTTCCTGCCAGTTTACAGTTTTCACAGATGGTAAAATGATGGTAAGCTCTCAATGGTCAATTTCTGAATAAGAGAAATTGACTGTTCTCTTAGGTTCTGTATTTTTCATTCTAATATATGTTTCTGTTCTTGTGCATCATAATAAGATTATCTGAGGAAACCTGTTTCTTTCTGTCAGTGATACCAGTAAGAACATGAAAGCTTGTACTATTTCTTCTAACGTTTCTTATGAGTTAGTAATGTATGTCTCTATTCTTAGCACAATTTGTCACTTTCATTTTCCTTAGGTGAAAATTGAAAGAACAAAAATTTGAAGTTTAAATTCTAATGTAATTTTATTTTACTATTTTTAGGATTTTCCATTTATTACTTTTTAAAATTTTCATCCATGAGAACAGAGCTTTCCATAGTCAACATTTCTTAAGCTATGCATAATTTTTATGACGCGCCGAGTTTTCTATCGTTGCCCTGCTGGCTGTCGCCTCCCTCGACCTGCAGTGAGTCCCCGCCTCGGCTCCCCGTGGCGGGCTTACCGGCGTGCGACGCGGTGTCCAGCTGCATTCGTATACCTTGAAATGGTGCACTTTTTAAGGATGTTTAGATACTTTTGTGCGGTATGAAACGGTGAGGTTGAGAAGTCCGGTGCCCATAATATGCTAGACCTTTGGCAGGGTCAGCTGGCTCATGCTCTGTGTCCTCATCATTTTGGGAGGCTGAGATGGGAGGATTGGTCAGGAGTCTTGGAGACCCGCGCTACTGAGACCCTTCTGTCTTCTGCTACAAATCATAGAAAGAGAATCTAGCTGGATGCGCGCACCTGTCTCGTTCCGATGGTTACTGAAATGGGCAATTTATGTTCCGCCCGCACCGGCGCTCGATCTTCCGCCGGCGCTGCCTAGCGCCTACCGCGCGCGGGCCAGCCCTCTTACGCTCTCCCCGCAGGTTTGTAGGCCACCGTATTATTTTTTTTTTAACTTAGAGGCGCTATCTTGCGGCCTAAACGTTTGCTTATGGGCTCATACTCACCCTCTCGCTTAACCTTGGGAGGGCTCGAGGTTTGGAGCATCACTTCCGCCTGCGCGTTTGCGGGCTGCAGTGAGTTCTACTCCCCTGCTCTAGCCTGGGTGACGAGGGGAGCCCTGTCTTAAACGGACTGTAAAAATATTCTAGACCCTTTATTTCTTTTGTCACATCAACATTTGAATTCTTAGTTGTATTTTTTTAGCCATCTGCAACCTCCGCCTCCCAGGTTTAAGCAATTCTCCTGCCTCAGCCTGCCGAGTAGCTGGGATTATAGGCGTGCGCCACTATGCCTGGCTAATTTTGTATTTTTAGTAGAGACAGGGTTTCTCCATGTTGGTCTCGAGCTCCTGACCTTAGGTGATCTCCCCACTTCAGCCTCCCAAAGTGCTGAGATTACAAACGTGAGCCACTTCGCCCAGCCTGAGCCACACATTTTATGATGGGGCTTCTGTTTTGACTAACTATTCTTTCTGTCTCTTCATATTCACTCTGTCTTAAATGAACATTCAGAACTAGGGTACCAACGTTTTCTTTAATGTTTCAGATCATCCAGGCCTAGAAAACATGGAACAGATAGAGAAATTTCAGGAAAAGGCTTATGTGGAATTCCAAGATTATATAACCAAAACATATCCAGATGACACCTACAGGTATCTACAGTTAAATTCCATATAATTAAAATAATTGAAAAACCTTTTGTGGATCTGTTATCTCATTGTTTCTACTCTCAGAATAATTAAATGTTTTAGGCAACCTTAGCTTTGAAATAGTAATGCTATAAAAAGCAGTATTGCATTGTTGCAAGTACGTTACATAAAATATTTCATCCAGTTCTTACATTTTTATATAAAAGGAGACTTCAGCACAGAGAGGTTAGCTTTGCTCAGGGTCACACAGTAAATGATAGCACCTGACTGTGAACCCAGGTAGTCTGACTCTAAAGTCCAAACTCTTTTTCTTTGGATAAAATAATGAATTTTGTTAGTAAAAGGAGGATAAAAAGTAATCAGAGACCAGCCTGGACAACATGGTGTAAAACCCTGTTTCTACAAAAAATACAAAAATTAGCCCAGCATGGTGGCGCATGCCTGTAGTCCCAGCTATTCAGGAAGCTGAGGTGAGACTGCAATGAGCTATGATTACATCGCTACACTCCAGTCTGAGTGACAGAGCAAGACCCTGTCTAAAAAATAATAATTAAAAAATTTTTAAAAATCAAATACCATTAGATTAGATTGTTTTATAATTAATTTTGAAACATGGTTTATGAAATTCCCTCCAAGCTATTTCTCACCAATGTTCTTTGAGAAAAGTTCTTTTTTTATGAGAGCCACTTTGTTTAAAGAGGGACATTATAGCCGAGGGGTTAAGCACCTGCTTATAGAGCCAGAGTACCTGGATTTGAATCCTGACTCCAGCTCTTGCTAGCTTCATAACCTTGGGCATGTTTCCTCCTATAATGGAGATAATAATGGGCCTGGCTAATTTTGTATTTTTAGTAGAGACAGGGTTTCTCCATGTTGGTCTCGAGCTCCTGACCTTAGGTGATCTCCCCACTTCAGCCTCCCAAAGTGCTGAGATTACAGGCATGAGCCACTGGCACCCAGCCGCCATTCTTAAATGTATAACTTGGCCCGGCACAATTTATTTTAAGGATTAAATCAGTTAATATATGTAAAGTGCTTAGGACCGTGCCTATCATATAGTAAGGGCTATATAAGTGTGGTTGTTTATAATAAATAAAACATTTTGTTAATTTAGCATACTTCAAACTAGCAAAATAACATTTTCACATATAATTTTTTATATATACTAAATAATTTAGATTTATAAGCCAGTCTCATCTCAAATATCAGCCTTATTTTATCTAACTCATTTTCCTATCCTGCTTTCTACCAGTTCTGTAAAAGCTGAATAATTTGATGTGGATGCTGAGTAATTTGAGGAGTAGAGCACACAGCTTCAGGAAGATAATCCTGGGGGCTGCTGTTCTCATTTGGTCTGAAGTGTTAGAGTACAAGGCCTTAGGACAGAAGGATAAACCCACCACAGTCTTTCTGGAAAGGTTTTGTTGTGGTGGTTTTTCAGCATTATCTTTAAGTTTTAAAAGTTACTGTATGCCTCATTATACAAATAAATACAGTATTTAAATTTTTTTCCTTTGTGATTGCAACTTTCTCAGTTTTTTGCATTCTTGGTTACTTAAAAATAATACATTATCCTTGGATAATAGTTTTCAACTTATAAGGCACTTTCACACAAGATAGGGTCCTGCCCTAAGGAACCTCACTACTTGGCACAGAAACTGGCAGGGATCATTTCATTCATCCTTACAACAGCACTGTGAGAGACAGTAAGTGGCAAGCACACATTTATATAGGTAGTGGGCAGTTCAATCAAGATTTGAACCCAACGGTCTTGATTCCACATTCCGTGCTCTTCCCAGTAATAGCGACTGTTGCCTATTTCCAGTAGTTTTTTGCAGAGCAAAACCAAGAAAATGCCTTATGTCCGTCCTGATAACACAAAAACCATTGCCATCTTTAAAAACCTGAACGAGTTGCTAAGCCATTCTTTTTCTTTCTTTCTTTTGATCTCGCTCTGCACCTCCCGCCTCCCTAGGTTCAAGCAATTCTTGTGATTCTGTTGCCTCAGCCTCCCCGTGTCTGGGGTTCTATAGCTGTGCTACCGTCGCCTGGCTAATTATTTTTGTATTTTTAATAGAGACACAGGTTCCTCCATGTTCGGCCTCGGCTGGTCTTGAACTCCCTGCCTCAAAGTGATCGCCCACCTCCCCTCCCAAGAGTGCTGTGAGCTTACAGCATGACCACTGGCACCCAGCCGCCCATTCTTAATGTATAACTTGGCCCGCACAACTGGCTCACACCTATAACGCAGTACTTGGAAGCCAAAGCAGGAGGATTGGCGCGGTGAGAGGCGCGCGGTGATATTGGTGAGACCACCCCGGAACCCCCCAAGTAGAAAACCCCTCTCCCTACACACATCACCCACCCCACAAAACAACCTCGGTTTTCTAACCTGCCCAACAACCCCCTCCCCCTAGCCAACCCGCCTCAACTGGGAGCTTGAAAAAGGCCGGAAAAGAACTCCCAAACGAGTTACCCGGGAAATTTGAAGGGGCCTCAGTGGGCAAGATCACACCCCACTGGCCCCCACTCCACTTTGGGGGGCAGCAAAAACAAGAAGGCCCTCTCCCCGAAAACAAAAAAAAACCCCATAGTATAACTGGGGAGTGTTTTTCACCAGTTTCACAAGTTTCCATATCCCCCCTGACAGCCCAAGGGGGAGGCCCCCAGTAAAACAGTAGCAATTAAGACCCAAAGTGGCCCTTTCCCCTGCAGTCCCTGGTCCCAGACTGCTCATTAACCCCCCCTCAGTAACTGCCCATATCCCCCTCCCTAAGGCTTGAAGAAAATACTAAATTTGAAAATTTAAACTTTGAACCAGACGAACAAAACAACTCTACCAAATTTA